TTTGAATGCCACATTAAACTAGATGGAAAACCATGAAGGAAAAGCCAAACTTCGTAAAAATCGGATGAGATTTGGCCGAGATATGGGGGTGGTAATTTTTGACCCATGTCTATATACGAATCTTGGGGTAAGATGTGGACATGAATTTCGACCAAAAAATCGGTGTCGAGATTTGAATGCCACATTAAACTAGAGGGAAAACCATGAACGAAAAGACAAACTTCGTAAAAATCGGATGAGATTTGGCCGAGATATGGGGGTGGTAATTTTTGACCCATGTCTATATACGAATCTTGGGGTAAGATTTGGACATGAATTTCGACCAAAAAATCGGTGTCGAGATTTGAATGCCCGATTAATCTAGAGGGAAAACCATGAAGAAAAAGCCAAACTTCGTGAAAATCGGATGAGATTTGACCGAGTTATGGGGGTGGTAATTTTTGACCCATGTCTATATACGAATCTTGGGGTAAGATTTGGACATGAATTTCAACCAAAAAATCGGTGTCGAGATTTGAATGCCACATTAAACTAGAGGGAAAACCATGAACGAAAAGACAAACTTCGTAAAAATCGGATGAGATTTGGCCGAGATATGGGGGTGGTAATTTTTGACCCATGTCTATATACGAATCTTGGGGTAAGATTTGGACATGAATTTCGACCAAAAAATCGGTGTCGAGATTTGAATGCCCGATTAATCTAGAGGGAAAACCATGAAGAAAAAGCCAAACTTCGTGAAAATCGGATGATTTTCGTGATTCGTGATTTCGACTAAAAAATCGGTGTCGAGATTTGAATGCCACATTAATCTAGAGGGAAAACTATGAAGAAAAAGCCAAACATTTAATCTTAACGCTTGTCAATGATCGTGGAATGTTATTATAAAAAGCATTTATCACGTCACGTATACGTATACCCCAGCTGATAAGGGAGTTCATTGATGCCAATCAAATATAAAGGGAAATTTCTTAAACTCTAAACAGCCATCGACTACTAAATACCCTACGTTAAGACTCGTGAAGTTGCCTAATACAACGTGGCATTAGTCGAAAAGTCTCCATTATTGGGTTCATTTAAAATCTAAAACTGTAAGATCAAAGCTATGATTTTCAAACTGCCATTCAGCATGATCAATTTTTTTTCTATTTACTTTGTGCACAGAGTATACAAAGAGAATACCCTTGTAATCATTTCTAAATAGTGTAACTGGTCAGTCAATTCTTCCTTAAAGAAAAGATTGGGCTCATACGTATGCAACGTATCTTGGAAAACGAATAAGTTGTTCATACAAGAACATAATATTCAGAAGCTATATGATACAGTGGCCCGATAGTAATAGGATTTAGCATATATATGAGGAGCAAGTGAAACGAATAAATGCCAAGTATGGCTCAGATATCTTGATAAACGAAATAGTCAGAGATGTCTCCTTCTATGCGTTACACATATGAGAAAAGAATGATACCCCCTTCAAGGGTATAAAAAGGATGCATAAAAAGCGATATAAAATACTCTGCTATATCGAAAGGAAATACTCTTAGATTTCTAAACAAACTAAATCATATATGGTGATCAAATGCAAAGTATAATAATATAACATAACTATAATAATATAAAATATAAATTGCTTAACTAAATTAACATTTTTGGAATATTTAGTTGTAACATTTAATTATTATATAACTAACAATGACAACTTGAAGACAATATATGCAGGGCATAAAATTGATAAACATATAAACAGATATTTGCCGAACACATGATTTGTTTAGAATACAAATGCATTTATGTATAGGTTGTAGAATATTAATATTTAAGTTATTCCCTTGTTATATATAACATAAAACCTCTCTAATATTGTATTACTTATAATATTCTAAGCTAATATTCGCATGCCGCTGATTAAATAAAAATCTTACAATTACAATATGTTAAACTAAATATTGCTAAAATCACAAAGATTTCCAGGGGAAAGCGTCATGGTCACAGTATAAATGATTCGGATGCTACAAATCACTTTAATAAATACATATAACATATATATTTAGTAAGTAATCAGCCGAATTCAAACCCTAAAACATCATCCATGCCATAGTCAAACAGACGAAAGTCCTCCTCATAGATTTCGTACAGATGCCGTATGGCGCCAATAGGCAGTGGATCAAAGTATTTGCGCAGATTGGCGCGCGTGCTGGACGGCTTGTGGCCAGTGGGGAATGTCAAGTTCTTGGCCCCCGCCAGATACAGCGCCAAGGCGGAGTCATCCAGTAAGGTGTCGTATTTGCCTGCAAGGGAAATATGATTGTTTAAAAAATGTGTCATCTGAGTGTTCCATTATGTGACTTACCCACAACGTTGTACTTCATGACACAGGGATTGCACAGTTTGGCAATGACCTCCCAGTGCTCGTTGTAGTCCGTTTGGTTGGTGCGACTAAGCTCCGGCGTCAGCAAATACTGCACGAACTCGCCAAACTGAACATCGTTGCCCTGATTAAGGGACTCGTTGCTAGCACCGGGGCGCAGCTCTCGCACAATTTGACGACCCACACGAGACTGAAAGTACCGTGCGCTAGGCGAGCAACCCTCCAGCTTATTGCGATACGCGGAGAGCAGCCGCTCAAATGGATGCCGTACCAGAATAAAGCGTGTGTACTCTTCGCTGAGCACCTGGGCGCGGTCCTCCTCGTTCAGATCGTAGAATTTGGTAAACATGCCCACCGAATGCGCCAGTGACCCAGGTATCTGCAGCGGATCCGTGCCATTCTGCCACTTGCCCGTCAAGAGCATCAGCACCCGTTTCCAGTTTGTGCAGGCCACCTACACGAGCGAAAGGGAGAATCGTGGAAATAAAACATTTTGTTTAGTTCAAGTTCTGTTGCAATTTCAACTAAATAAACAATAATTCGAATGAGGCCACAAAATGTATTTTCTGGTTTTCCTATGAATTATGTTTACCTCTAAACAAGAACATTAGAATGTTGTCTGTCAGTGAGTCAGAATTTGGGCTCTATCTACTTTAAAGGAATTCTTTTGAAATCGACTCAACGATAAGCACGGCAAGCGCTAGCATGGATTCCATATCTCAACATAACAGTTGGCTATTTTTTATTATCGACAAATACATGTCGGGGCTTTAGGTGATATTTTCTGTATATTACAGCGAATTCTTCCTTCTCTACAAGATGGCGGGCAAAGGATATTTTCGAAAAAAAATATATGTATATAGTCCGGATTTCATGAGAATTATAGACACTTGACAAGTAAATCGGCGAATATCTAGCAAAGTAACAATTCGAAAACCTGTTTTATTTTAGCTTAGCTTCCGCTCCGTCAACTTATTTATGTATGCATGCAATTTGTCATAAACAAAGAGCCGGCAACAAAATATATAATGTACATGTAGATATGATTACAAAATACTTTTTCAATTGGAATTTGAGCCGACTGTGCAAAGTGAGTTGAACTTTAATTATAGAAAGTAAATAATGAGCAAGCAGAGTGAAATGTGGAGAGGGTAGTTGGCATATTTTATTATGATGAAAATAAAATTATAATTGCGAACAATGCGATCTACTTGACTCAGATACTCGGCCAAACACTTTTCTCTTAACTGCCAATGCTAATGAATTGCAATTTACGCCAAGATTTATGTTTAGAAAAAAATGCGATTTAATTGCTGCATGCGAGTATTTCAAAGCACGCTGAGAGCCGGCCACTTAGCTAATCAACTATAACTAAGCAGCCACAGCCACAATTACAGCAACAACAAATCAACTAAACATATAAACATTTCGCTTAGGCAGGGCAGACCGACCGACAATGTCGAGTGTAATTAAACGCTACAAAAGCATTTCAAATCACAAAAACAAACAATTTTCGTATACACAACACACAGGAAAAACTACGGGCCGAGTGGTGCTGCTGCTGCCACAGTGGTGCGCAGCCTGCCACGGGCCATCAGCCTACACTTGAGCGTTGTCAGGCTGTCAGATAAAACTGAAATATCCACCTAAACAAAACATATTGAAACGCTGCAGACTCAAACATAGCTGCGTAAATGAAACATTGTCGGTGGTTTAGTTTACGGTTCGAACCAGCTTCCTGCCTGGAAAGTGTTGCTTCAGCTGTGCTTATTCAAATATGTTGGAACTATATTGGGAATCCGGGCTTGAGCTTCATAATAAAGAAGATTTAGAAGTTAAAACCAACTCCCGCCTTAAGGTTCGGCTCGTTTCTGTTAACCCAGATTTGGGTTCGAACCGGTCGCAACCTATCATAAATTAAATTAATTACATATTGATTAATATTTATTGAAATTTGCATCTCTATATTAAGAGTTAACAACATATTGTTAGAGATTGTCAGAACCCTAAAAGTTCAGCAATTATAATCTCGTATGGAAAACTAAGCTTTGGTTCAAGTTTTTGGGATCGACTGTGCTTTATGCAACTAATCGGGCCTCCTAAGTTTGTGTTTACCAATAGACAGCGATCCACTGTGCATGACACAGGTAACAACGAATCGCGGCAAAGGTTCAGGTTCAGCGTTTTTCGAACACAATGCGCATACGTTAAAATTATTTGCAATACGTAAGCGATCATAAAATACAATTTTACACAATTTCTTTTGGCTATAAAAGGCACATTAAGCACTACACGCGATGGTCGCATAAAAAGCTCAGCTGTACAGTCGACAGTGGGGTTAATAGCACACAAATACGAATTCGTGGAACGCGGTCAGGTAAAAGCGCGCTAAGTTTTACCCAAAGGCATGAATTGCCCCCCTCAATGCAAGCTGAGATCTCGTTACTACGCCTCTGTCGAGTTGTAAATGATAAAAGAAAAAGAAATGATCGCGAGCTTGTCATACAACACGATACGCCCACTTTGGCAATCGATTCGTACCGCGATTATCAATGCGACAGGTGAACGCGTTGGTCTTTCTCTACATTTTAACCATAGAGTACTGTTACCAACCTCATAGCGAAGCACTCATTAATTAGCTAATTAAAATACGATCTGTGATATATGAGAGCTATTCTAAGCTATTTTGTTTGGTGCTAACTATATGGAATTTAAGCCTTATAGGGGGTATTATAATGTGTAAGGCATTTAAGAAGATGTCGGCTGTCCCATAAAGTATATATCGCTGATCCGTCTTTATGTTACAGGCAGTGCATATGTCGGAACAGGCCAGATCAAATTACTTTATCATATAGTCATATGAGTGAAAAGTATCTGGAACGCACGATAAGACATATCGTATCAATATCGGACTACTATAAGGCTCTGTACGCTGAATGAATCTAAAAATGAGTGTGGAACATTTGGTGGAACTACTATATTATATGACTTCCCTAGGAACTATCACATGGAAGGAAAGTTTTTGTATATGTGTGCAAGGGTATTCAATCTTCGACATGCCAAAAGTGAGTTTATCGTGATATTCACTAGTTTTAAGTCAAATGGATGTTGTGTCCCTACGATAACTTCCTCCGAAGTAGCGAAAAACCGTGTTTAAAGCGATCTCACATTATTTCCTACTGGACAAGTTTCCTCTTTGCAACTTTTTAAGATGTTCTCCTAATTTTAGGGAATATTTAAAGGTGCACATCATAAGTTCGTTTATTAGCAGGAAAACTGCCATTACACGAATATATCTCGACACAAGAATACCAGAAACTCAATTTGAACAACAATTGTAACATAAAGAAGAAAAAAGGTGTCGAACTCACAAAGTGGCGCCACAACCAAGAGGCATACGTCATGGCACGGCATGGCCCATTGGGTATTACTCAACAGCCGCAATCTGAGCACCCCACCTGCCTGCACCACAAGCAAGAGCTCATTATGTTGGGCGAGGGTTCAAAGTGCGTCGGACACATGAAACACGAAGCTATTTATATGTCGCACCTTCAACAGGTGAGCAATTCGGTTTTGTTGGCTGGTTAATCTAATCAAATAGTTCGTCTAATACTATATCATAAGTTGGTATTTGATAGCAAGTGGCAAGTGGAGGAAATGGTTTTTTGTTTTTTTTTTTTTTTTTTTTTTTGAGAATTCCACATGCTGCTAATTTGCTTCAATTGAATTAGTTTAGTTACGGTCTAGATTCTTATCGAGCGCGTTATTAAAATCGAAATTTAATTAATAAAGGCAAAAACTTTGATAATCCCCAATGGACGTCATTAAATTGGCCCATTGGGACGCGCAGATAAGGAAAAGTGTATCCCAATTAGAATATTCGCTGATCTAATCAACGTGCCTTGCTTATCGATCAGACGAGCAGACAGTCGAGAAGACAACCACTTTAGCATTCGATCTGACACACTCAGAGACAGCTCTTGCGTGTTTTTGAACCCATGCAAATTGCTCAGCAATTCTACAACAAATTACAAAACACTGATAATAATAGCTTATAATTGTCGGAGGCTCCACTGAAACGCAGTTTGCATATATGGAGAATATAAGGTGAACTCGAACTCAGATATACTCTGTAAGCAATTTAAGGTAAGCTGTGTGGAGGATTAAATTTATTTGGGTTTTTTGAACATTTTTTGAATTTTGAATATCGTTCAGAAGTGAGCAACATACAAGATTTTAGTTTAACTACCTTTCTTTATTGATTTAAAACTTACAAGCAGCTCCAAAGTTCTCTAAGGTCAACTCTGAATACAATGAATATATTTAATTTCATTTTTGTGGATTAAGATTTAATCGAACCGCATCTGAAAGTGCAGCAGACCCTGCATTCGCACATTTTGAAAGCAAAGTGCATGTGCGGATTAAACCCAGTCTACACTTAATTTACAAGGTATATAAATGCATTTATGGCTATATAATTTATAATTACACAGAGGTTTATGGAAGGTTATATGGTTATCTACGCCAGTACTATGGAAATTGACTTCAATAACAGACATGGCGTCGAATAGCCAAGCAAATCAAAGATTGACATAGTCTCTTGATAAGCCTACCAAGTGGTGCGGGATTTAGACAAGCAATCAGCTTGTACCACTTATAGTCAGTCTTGTTGTCTGGTCAAACTCGTCTGGTGAAAGCAACATAATCACACGAAATCGATTGAACAATAATCATGCCACATGTGGCAAGAATAAACAACAGTCCAACAGTGTGAGGGGCCGGTCTGAGCTGTTGTGGTTGCTGTGGCGCTGCCTCCGGGGGAGCATCAAATGTCAGCAGGCCAGTAAAAGAGAAAACGTGGAGCAAAAAATAAAACGAGTTTATTTCATGTGTGGATGAGAGGCATTTGACAAAGGGTCGCAGCACGCTGGACGGCCGCAAACGGAAGGGAGCTAAACCACACATGGCGAACCGGGCAGTCAGAATAGAACATATATAAAAAGTGTGTTCTAGTTGGCAATGCTCGACCATGAGATACCCTGTACCCCCCCAGACCGTCAATTCGAGCTACATTCAGTTCAGTAAAACATTATACTTTTTTGTGAACATTCGGGAAATAGGAGAATTTTTTATAAACTGAGTAAGTCATACGAACATTTTGTTTTTGGTCTTGTAATCTTCTAGATATACCTAATCGATTTTATGTTATAGGGTAATCATGTCCGGATCGACTCTGGCACTTTATTAGATCAAAGCTCCTTATTTCTGCTTGTTACATAAATTTGCACCTAACTATTATACCCCTTGTATAAACTTCCAATTGACACAGGGTATACAAATAAAATTCTGAAAATTTCGTTTTCAGTCAGAAAAGTTTTGTGTTCAAAGCTGACGCAGCGAATTAATTGAAAAGGTTAAATAAGTATAAAGAGAGGTGGGTACCTTGGGCACATAGCAGTAGAGCAGCTTGTGCTCCTTATCCACAATCATATGATCCATTTGCAGCTCGGTAAGATCATCCACAGTTTGCCTGTTGGCCTCCAGCAGCTCACACTGTCGCTGCATGAACTCCTGACGCTGTATGTTGATCGTTTGAGTGAGTTCCAGGCTATGTTTGGTGATTTTGACATTGTTGTTGTTGCCATCCTCAAAAGCGGCAGCTGCCAAGAGCCGCATAAAAGTGTAAAGCAGCAGAATGCCAAAAATTTGTACATTTTGATTCATTTTGGTCTTGTAAAGCTCTGGTTTTGGCGAAGTATATAGTTCAGGCTGTTGTTCATTTGGCAACTTTAAATATTTCCTTTTCGATTCGTTTTAGCTCTGCCGCCGGCGACCGAAATACTTGACGCGATGCACAAACTTCAAGTTAGCCCCGTTCTCAATACCCAGCGCCGTTAGAGTCGCGCGTCCGTTGTCAACGTTGTCATCGATCGGCTGATTGGTGTCCACGTTGAACAGTGCAAAGCAGCGCCATAGAAACCGCCAAGAGACCAGCGCGCGATGTTGGTGCCCGTTGCGCAGCGCCGAGTTAACTAATTCGCCACTGGAGCGCGGCATGGCTTCAGCTCCAGCAGATCCCACAACCTGTTGTCTGTCACTATCTTCGGCCCGGCCAGCGGCGTCTTCGGCTACCTCACGACGTTGTTCGCGTTGTCTTCGTTTCAATTGAGCGCACGAGATCGTGGCGATCGCTTTTTTCAGTTGGGCAATCGTCGGAGAGCGCTGATGGAGCTGAAATATCAATGAGAATGCACAGTGTGAGAAATGGAGAATGTTAGAATTTTAAAGTTTTGGATTAAGAGTACTGCAAATTTAAAAGCTGGTCAAGCACATGAAAACCCTCGGATATATTTCCATATAATATGGTTATATTAAGGGATTACGAATACAGGAATATCTAATTACGATTCTCACCGGTAATTTAATGGAAAAATGCATGAACATCGTATTGCAAGTTGTGGGAACTTTTTTTCGGATAACAAAATAAATTTATAATATGTAATGGGGATGTCAGACTCGAAGTTTTACCACAATATAAAACAGTTTGTATTCAAATAATCAGCATGAACTTATTTCTCTTCACTTTTAAATTCTTATTTTCATTGTTCCACTTTTCAAATGACGCTGTTTACATGAAAATGAAATAGTGTTTACATTAACGGCGAAAATTTCACCAGCGTCTACAAAAGAACCTTGCGAATTGGACATTAATCAAATTGATGGATCGAAAACGACTACATATATATGTATATATGTACATATTCAATTGAATGGCAATCGGGTGCAAACAGCTGCGCGCAAGGTAGCTGGGAGTTGTGGGGTCAATTGAGAGCTTCCGACTCTGAACAGCCTACCAGTGTTGCCAATTGCCGCCGCTTCAGAAAAGTAACGGATTTCATGTAAAAAGAGCTTCGTGAAATGTAAGTGTTATTGTTTTAGCTTTTTTGAAATTGCTAGCAAAAAAATTAACACTCTGTGGCTGACGTTTTCCGAAAATGGCTAAATTTAGCTACAAAATAGCTGCATTACCTCAATGTCGAGCGTGCTAAGTCCGTCGCGTTGCACGTGGATCGATGTTGCGCGGCCCTCCGCTTTGGCAATCTGTAATTATGAAATATACATAAAACAGTTAACGGTAACATCAGCTGCCATAACATTTGTTCTGGCCATCAATTAGCAGCTCCACCGGAGTAGGTCACCCAACAATTGATTGTGACGAAAGCGAGGCAGCGTGCTAATTGAGTTGCCGATCGGACAGTAAGGTGGCGCTTAGTGCGCGAATATTGTGACGTCACGGGATCACAGTTTGTGCTCTGAGAATGCTGCTTGTTAAGCACCACCTTAATGTTCGTTTCTCTTGCTGTTAACTTGCCTGGCCCAAAAGTTCAGCTGCCGTGGGATCGTGGGGCACATCTGCCAGCTCTTCGAACTCGGACAAAATCTGCCGTAACTCTTGGGAGCTTGCAGCCAACATTACATTATGCTCGGCTCGCTCAAAATCAGTTCCTAAGCGATCTAAAATTGCCCTTGATTTAGCGTGTTTTTTGCGCTTTGGTTGTCGCTGTTGCATGCCCGCCAAGTTGCGCGCCTCTCTAATTGCTTTCCTCTGCAAATTAATGGGCATTCTCTTTAGCCTTCTGCGTTTAACCGCAATTCGACGTCGTTCTCGTAATAAATCCATTTTACTGCTTTAATCAAAACACAGTAACAGCTGCAGGCAGTAATTTAATGTCTTCCTTTACAATCTTAATAATTGTATATATTAGAAAGAGCACTACACGAATTTCCAAAACACTTCAATCAACTTTTAATTTTCAATAGCGTCTGGTCATTCACACGTTGCGGGTACAAGCAAACAGCTGTTCGGAATCTGAGTGTGACCATAAACCAAATCATTTATTCACCACTTACTCAATTTGTTCGCAAGCGCTCAGTTCCGCGTATACTTTGCTCAAATTTGCGTTTCAAAAAGTTTTAGTCAATTGAAATCGAACAAAAGTAAGAAATTCAATATATTAAAATTGATAAAGTGGGTAATATTCTCTGAGTTCTCGAACTTCAGAATTCCAAAAAAAAAAGAAATGAATGGAACACATTTCTACATAAGCCGCACACACGAAATCACACACGAGCTTAAACATCTGGTTTCGAGTCATCAAAAAGCAACCCAAGTAGGACTATTCACTTAGAGAACTATCTGAAATGCCATAATGTTTTATTATATTGCCTGTATATGTAGCCGACATGGTGTAGTGGTAATCAATTCAGACCTTTTCCAAATTCAAAAATAAATAAATAAGCAATATCATTTTTATATATCAACATTATGTCGAAAGGAAAGGGACCTCTCTCATTGCTGTACAATGGTATAATCAATTCCGTTGATAAAGTGGTACCCCGAGGCGCGCGCCCATTTTGGGAATCACCGGCAGGTGCGTGCACTAATTATTACAAATATTTAATTTCTTATTTAATGTCTGTCATATAGGTCCAAAAACCGTGTTCTTCTGGGCACCTCTGGGCAAGTGGGTGAGTTAGACGATGATTGATCGATTTATTTAATAAAGAGAAGTGTATATGTGTTCTGTTTTTGGATTAAGGCTCTAGTGCTTGCTGGAATTGGAGATCTTTTAAAACGACCGCCCCAAAATGTATCCCTCAATCAGTCGGGCACGCTCGCGATCACTGGGCTAATTTGGTCCCGTTATTCCGTTGTGATCATACCCAAAAACGACAGCCTGCTGTTAGTAAATTTAGTGGTATTTTTAACACAGGGCTTTTTAATTGCCAAACATCTGAAATGGCGAAACGAAAATCCAAAAAATGTTGTCTTCTACCATCCGCACCATTTTATACCACTTTGTGACGACTGGTGGTAGCCACGGAAGATCAATGCGTTTTTAATGACTATGACAACGAAATTGAAGATAAAACATTTTAATATATACATATATACTTGAGTTCTTGTTATTTTATTTTTGACTTTTGCTTGGCAGCTGTCTTACATTACAATAGTTTAGCCCATACAAAATGGAATATACGAAAAACTCTTATTTCAGTTTAAGTGTTTGTTGTATTGCACCTAGCTTAGGTGATATTTCGCCAAGCTAGGTTGGGTCCTCAGGCTTTGTCGCGGACAAACGTCAAAGGCGGCTTTTTTGAATAATGCTGCTCGTCATACAAAAAAAAAAGTATCAAAACTCAAGCTTATCACGTCTGCCATGAATTATGTAATTCATTCTACAAATACAATCGGTAGGACGGAGTTTTTACAACTCGAAACTATTTTTCCAAATTTAAAAATAGAACCTTTACATCATGTCGAAAGGAACAGGACCTCTTTCTAAATTATACAACCTGATAATCCATTCCGTTGATAACGTTGTGCCCCAAGTGGCAAGGCCCTTATGGGAAGCTCCGGCAGGTGCGAATTTCCAAGAGTTTCGCTAAACAACCACTAATTCAAAGCCTTTACCTTTACCATTTAGGTCCAAAAACAGTTTTCTTCTGGGGGCCTTTCGGTAAATGGGTGAGTTTGATGAACTATACCAATGCCCTTCAATTTTGATAAGCCAATTCCGTCTGAAGCTCCTCGTTCTTGCTGGAATTGGAGATATCCTGCAGCGACCGCCGCAAAATGTATCCCTCAACCAGTCGAGCGTGTTGGCAGCAACTGGCTTAGTCTGGTCCCGGTACTCCGTGGTCATCATTCCGAAAAACTATAGTCTGCTCTCAGTAAATTTCGTTGTATTTTTAACTCAGGCATATTTAATTGGCAAGCATCTGAAATGGCGTTACGCGAATTCGAAAAACACGGCGTAGCATTAAGTAGATTTTCCCATTTCTCAATTGCAGTAAAGATGATCTGAAAAGAAATCTATTCTCTTGTTTTTTTTTGCGTGCCGCTCGGAAGCTTTACAACTTTTTATTCTTTTTCTTGCGCATTTTGCAATCATCTTGGTTCAAACTCTTAAGTAATAGTATATCTGTATATATTCATTATTAATAAGTAAGGTATTGCACGCCCACTTTAGTTGTTGTTTGTGGGCGTAGGCTTTGGGCATGTGACTTAAGATAGTTTGAAATTAAAACTTAAACTGAACTAAAATCGAGAAAATTCGCTTATAGTATATACAAAAATGTTATCGGCTTGGGTGCTGGCATCGCTGAGTTCTGGTTCTGTTTGGCCAACGGCGTTGCGCACAAGCCTCGCTCTGATTGGTCGTCCTGGCGTCTTGCGTCCTGCAAAGGGGTGGGGAGGCCAATGCGCTGCCTGCAAAGGAGGCTTCGTTCGTGCAATTGTCTTGCCGCCAACTCGCTCGAGCCGGGCTGAAACGAGCACCGCATTGCAGTTGGCAAACAGCCTGTGCAAGTCACGAAGCACATACACACACACACAGACACACACACACTTGGGCGCACACAACTGCAAATAGTTTTTGCTGTGCAAACAGGCGTATGCGTGATTTATTATCAACGATTTTTCCCATGCGCATGTGAGCGCAGCAATCAAATTCTATTTGCCTGTGTATGTGTGGCCTTGTATATGTGTGTAGCTGTGCGCCTGTGTGTGTGTGTGCGTGTGTGAGCTTTGAACGTTTGCCAAGTGCATTACGCTGCCTGCTGCCGACTTGAACTTTTAGCCGCTGCGCTGCCATTGGTTGGTCAGACCTAGGACCAGCTGCAGCGGCCGTAGCTGCCAATTGGCCAACGAGGCTCCTTTAACGCATCGCTGCAAAGAGAGAAAGAGAAAGAGAAGCGGAAAGGGTGAATATAAGTAAGAAGGATGTGCATAAGCATGCTCACAGTCACACTTTGGCTCCACGAGAGAAAAATAAGTAAACAAAATAGATGTCATATGATATAAGAATTTCACAGGTTATTGTTATATAAAGAAAACTTTCTAGAAACAAAAACATCCTCTTCAAAAAAAGAACGAGCGAGATGACGAACTATGGCTCTAATTAATAGGATAAAAATAAATAAAAGAAAATAAATGTATACATGAAATAGGAATTTTATAAGGAAGACCCAATGTATTTTCAAGGTTCTGTTAACTTAATATGAACACACAAAAATAATTAATACTTTTTGGTTTAATCTTTTATTTTTTAGGAATTTTGTCGGTTCGTGTTTTATTTGCTTGATTCATCAAATGAATATTTCTTTCTATACCAATGACTAAAACGTAAATATTTTCTACTCATTTGCAATTTGTTTTTCCTTTGCTCGTGTTATTGTAATTTCTTGTTTTCAAGTTTTCAAGTTAGATATATGTTTAACATTCATTCAATTATGTAAGTCTTTAAGATTGTAACGCTTGGATGGACACACCCCACCCAAGAGATATAACTGCATCAAATACGTCATGTTTTTTGGACTTCTCAGCCCTCATCTGGCTTGGTAAGGGAAACATAATGGGCGGGGGGAGGAGGGCTCTTAGACCACAACGCAACGATGGGAATGGGCGCTTGCCAAGATGGTAGGTTGCCAAAATCTCGAGAGATTTTCTCACGCTCGCTTCCAAAGAATCTCAGTGGCAATGAACTTTTCTCGCTCTCAAGTTCTGTTGTTGCGTAATGCTGCTGCGTGCTGAGGAATCTTGGCAGCCGTCCTGGGATTTCCCCAAGCACACACATACACACACACACACATGCAGTCTCACACGCACACTAACTACTTCTACACTGTAATTAAAGCGCCACCTGCCGCGTTGGCGCGTAAACAAATTTGGACTGCATAATTTATGATCATGGAGTTTTGCCAATAAGTTTCTGGATGAGTAGACAAACTGTCTGCCAAGGAAAATTCTGGGCCGTCGATCTTGCCCCTTCCGCCCCCTCTCTTCATCTTGCTGCTGTTCAGCTCGGTTAGTTAACTGAGGTCAGGGCTGCTGACGCCATTGGCCCCGGAACTGTGCTATTGAACAGCTGCCAATTGTGACCACTAGATATTTATCCATTCCAGGCAATTCCTCAAGCCACCCACCACCACCAACCATCTACGATCTACCATCTTCGCACAGAGCGCACGTGTTAATTATGTCTTGATTTATTGACTCTCGAAAAGGGCAACAATTGCCCCTAATTGCCAATTGAACAGCTGCTCAGTTGTTCGCCACTTAATTTACGACTTTAGTCAGGTTTCTAATAGATTATTATTGAGTATAGTGGGTAAATAAAATCTAAAAGACTGCCGCCTATACATTATGCATCTCTTCTGTGTGTGAGTCAAAGTGCTTGCCTAAAAATAACAGCGTGTCAAACATGACAGGAGTAGTTTTCTGGGCGGTCTGTGGCACGCGTTACGCAACGCATGCCACAAAGGCAAAGTGTTTACTCGACAATATTCACTCGACAATGTTCACACCATTTGCTGCTTGCATGTGTATATTTGAAAGTAGATTCAACTCATGTCATCCAATAGAATGCTTAGAAGCTAAGGCAAATTACATTTTTCGACGATTTTTTGTTGTAAAAGTGGACATAGTAAATGCTACTCATTCGGGCTGAGCTTTTAGCTTTAAGTTAGCATAATTGTGTACAGAAGGGGATGTACAATGCGCCAAAAGCTTTAATGTGCTTTCAAAATTGCTTAGCTTGAACAAGTTCTTATCTTCCCCAAGGACTTTGCAATCCAGTTCTGGAATTCATAGTCCATTGATAGAACATTTAGACAGGTTAATTGTTGTCAGTTAATGTATTGAAATAAGTTAAAAGCTTTCATGTGCTTTTGACTTGCTTGCTGTTATTCGATTTAGCTTCCAAAAGTGGCCCCTTTCAAAGAGGGGTTTTCGTATTAACACAAGTTTTGTAGTACAGAACTATATTAAGTTATTAAATGTGGTTTTGGGTTGTAGTACTTAAGTATCTAAGGAAGAATGTAAATATGTTTAATTAGTATTAAAATAATTTTGATAATTTTGTATGAAACCTATTTAGTTAAGCATATTTATTTCACTTCAATTATGATTCTTAGATACTATATTCAGTTGGGTAAATGTGCTTTCAAGTTGACTTCCAACAAAATGTAAGTATAAAAGTATATTTAACCTTAAACATTTTAAAATGTTTTCTTTTCATCCAAACACAATTTTACCAAATATCTTATTTCATTGCTTAAGATAAAGCTTCTACAAAAGAATTGGTCAATATATTACTTTTGCAATATTAATAAACCCAATAAAATTCGACCATAAAAGTGCAGACCATTTAATATGCCTTTGTCTAACATATTTTATATTGTTAATAAAAACCAGGGTCAATATTATTTAATGCATAATTCTACCCATTTCGCATACCCGCTGTGCATATGTACAAATTGTATATATCATGCTTGGGATCTGTGCTATATAGAATGTTTCACGGACGACGCAAAAAGTACCAAAGGCTTTGACGTTTTAAACAAATTTCGATTTTGTATATTGTTTTATTCTAGTTTTCGTCGCTGTTTGTGAATCGGGCAAAATTTGCTTTTATTTATTTTGCTCTGCAGCTAAAAGCGGATTTTTTGTTTCCCCAATTTTCTTGGGGCTTTTTGTTTTTGGGTTGATTTTCGATTTTTCTCGCTTGTTTGTACATTTTTCATTTACCTTGCTATTTTCGGACACACTTGACGGGAGCGAAGATCGACAAGCAAAAGGCACGGACCAAAAATTGCGCAGAACTGTCGCCAGAAGGCCCTTATATACCACATAAGCAGTACATGCTCGCATATACCCAATACATCTTTTATATATAAATAGTATTCGGACTGCTCCTGATGTTATATACTGTCCGCCGATCTGCGAGGCGAGGCGAGGCGGGGCGAGGCGATGACGCGCAATTGACGCGGGCAAAGACGCGTTGAAAACGCGCGACTATCGTCGCTGTCGCGTCTATTTTCGTATATCACATAGAAAAACAGATACAGATACAGATGCATACACAGAGATACATATAGATACATACATATAGAGATATATAGAGACGGCTAGGATTGTTTGTGTATTTCGCCTAATCTATTTCAGTGCTTCATCATTTTGTTAGTCGTTCGGTTTTTGCATTTCTTTATTTTCTTTTTTTCTTCGCTATTTGGTTTTTCATCAAAAATGTATTTTGTCTTTGGGATTTGTCTGTTCTGTCTATAGGACGGCGGCACAAATTGTAATTAGTGCTAGTTTTTCTAGTTTTAATTAGAATATTTCTTATTTTGCACGTATACCTTGAAGATGCCAATGCGATGCAGTAAGACAGAAGCTGTCACTTTCAAATACGAGAATTGTTCATTAAATACTAGATACGAGCATATATACACACATGTGTGTACATATGTATCTTAATTACGAGCATTTATACACACACACACGTGTGTACATATGTATCTCAGCATATTAATTGTCGTTATTATGGTCTTAAAAATCTTGTGTGAAGTGACTAAAAAGAAATCACAATCATATACACAATTTAAAAACTAAAACATTGGCTATATCTAGCAAGCCGAAGAGTTAATACCCTATATGCTATATGTATAGCTCTTAAATGCTTTTATATAAAAGCCTTACTTTGGGCGGGCCATAAGATGCTTGCATAAATATTTAAAGAGAATAGTAAACTTTATCTTCATCCTCCGATTCATTTAAGGCTGTGCTTAAAGATCACAATGAAGCTTGTGAGATTCAAGTTTGAGCTTTATGATATAGTTGACCGATCCGGCTGGTTTTGATAATTGCCCTGTGTGCAACAGAAGGACGGATCAGTTCAAGATTAATCTAAAACTCAGACTGACGAACCGATCTGTTGATACTGGTCGGAGATTTTGATAATAGGGTCGGATATATCTCTTTTTATTTGACAAAATCACCATGCCTTGTTCAAGGGTATAAAAACGGAATGTGT